CAGATTTTACTAAACCCAAAACCTGCAGGTTATGCTGCTTCTGTGAGGACACAAACAACAAAACGGAGCATTGCGTAAGAATTAACAACACTAACACTCTTATTATTGTGAAAAAAACAAGACAGCTAAATATGACAATTTTGCTGGATAAAGATTCATGAGATTTAAAACATTTTAGATGTCATGGGATTTAAAACTGTATCCATACAGTTAAAAGTGTAAGTAACAGGACTGAAAAACATCAATCAATCAATCAATCAAAATCATTACTTAAAACTGTATTCATACAGGTAAAAGTGTACGTAACAGGACTGAAAAACATCAATCAATCAATCAATCGAATCCGTATATTTTCTGAAACGGTGGCGTCATCAGCCCACGTCTCGCCCCTAGTCAAGACACCGCTACGTCACATAACAGCAACAAAAACATGAACAAACACGGAACGATTGTCTTTTTATTAACTAACATTAACACAGATTAATAAATGTATTGTTCCATGTTCGTTTTTATACCGCGCACAAGGTTTATGCGCATGCATAGTCCAAGTCGTCTTCTCCGTTTTTAGTGTATCTGGCAGAATTACAATGCCACATACTGGTCTGGCATGTATACTACATTGTTTTGTGTCGGTCTTGTCGTTTCGTGTGGACGCAGATATTTCTTGAGACGAGGGGAAAAAAAGATTGGCTAGTGAAAGCTCTGGCTCCGTGTGGACGTAGCCTAAAAATCACTACTTAAAACTGTATTCAACCAGTTAAAAGTGTAAGTAACAGGACTGAAAAACATCAATCGATCAATCAATAAAATCATTACTTAAAACTGCATTCATACAGTCAAATGCATCAGTAACAGGACTGAAAAATAGCAACAAAAAAACTAATTAAAATCAGGATTTAAAACTGTTCATGCAGTTAAAAGTGTTGGGAACAGGACTGACAATTGCAAAAAATAAAATATGAAATAACTAAAAATCATTGCTTTAAACTTTATTCATACAGGTAAAAGTGCAAGTAACAGTACTGAAAAATCAATCAATCAATCAAAATCATTACTTTAAACCGTATTCATACAGGTAAAAGTGTAAGTAACAGTACTGAAAAATCAATCAATCAAAATCATTACTTAAAACTGTATTCATACAGTTAAACATGTAACGACTGAAAAATAGCAACAACAAAAAAACTAATTAAAATCAGGATTTTAAACTGTGTTCATACAGTTAAAAGTGTTGGTAACAGGACTGAAAATTTGCAAAAATAAAAAATAAAATAACAAAAAATTAGGGATGCACCGAATTTTCACCAAAAGAGAAAAACGGCCGGAAATGCGAGCCGAAAATATAGGCTACATATAATAATAATATATATGGCGCCCAGCAGTGTTCAGTGTGCAGGTTTCACTCTCCTCATCAATGCGCGGTTTGACGCTCCTCTCAATTTTCCAATCTATGAATGCGCGTTCCACTCGTGTACCGCTCATGCTCACCGGAAAAGCAAAGTTCGCTCAAATAACGCATTGACAGGAAATTTCTATGCAGTATACTTGTTTCGGTTTGCAGTAGCGCTACTGTGCTGTAACATAGTGTAGGCTAGTTCAGCTGTACTGGGCAACGCTGGTAAAATGATGCTACCTTCAGTGATGCTATGCTCTGCTCATATGCTCTGATAATAATAGCTTTGTAAGACTATACATTATTTGGATAATTAGTCCAAAAAACAACAACAACAACAACAACTTATATCTGATTCTGTTACATAGAAGTGAATAAAAATATATAATATAATATATAATATATATTGATATTTAATATTAAGGTAACACTTTACAATAAGGTTCCATTAGTTAATGTAAGTTAATGTATTAACTAACAATACATTTATTACAGTATTTATTAATCTTTCTTAATGTTAGCTAATGAGAATATAGTTATTCACTGTTAGTTCATGTTAATTCAGAGTGCATTAACTGTTGACAAGCACAACTGTTGATTTTAATAATGCATTAGTAAATGTTGAAATTAACATGAACTAAGACTAATAAATGCTGAGGAACTATTGCTCATTCTTAGTTCGTTAACTAAAGTAGTTAACTAATGAACCTTATTGTACAGTGTTACCAATATTAATATAAATTCTGTCCAGTTTTATTGTGTTACTTTCAGAAAAAGTGTGGTTATTTTATTGGCTTGTGTTTTTTTTTAATTCAGTATCATTAAAATTGAGTTAAATTTAAAAAGTCTTACAAAATTACTTTATATTATTTAATAAAATAATAAATAATCATTACAAAACATTTTCTGTTTCGGTTTACGGCCAAGTGCATCCAGAATTTTCATTTCGGTGCATCCCTACTAAAAATCATTACTTTAAACTGTATTAACTGTACTAACAGGTAAAAGTGTCAGTAACAGGACTGAAAAATGGCAAAGAATAAAACACAAGTAAAATAGAACATATTTTTACAATAATCCAGATTTAAAACTGTAAAAGTGATTTTTTTTTAAAATAACATACAATAAAATAAAGGATTAAAAATGGTTGGTAACAAGATTACACAGCTGCAAAAATGTCAAAAAACAAAAACAATCAAATATCATCCAGATTTTAAGCACTTTATTTCACTGAACACTTTGTTTAAAAAAAAAGATTAATCAGTAAATAAAAAACAAATACATTTAAAAAGAGGAAAGAATGTTTTAAATGGTTTACTGTATATAATCACGGATAAACGTGTATCATCAAGGGGGTCTAACGTACCACTATCCTGAAATAATCACTGGGAATGACCGTGTCTCCATCCTTCATCCATTTGACGGTGGGCGGCGGCGAGCCGGTGACGTCACACTCAAAGATGATGTCCATGGACTCCTGGGCGTAAGTGTTGGAGGGTCTCGTCAAGAACCGTGGAGGAACTAGAAGAAGAAAATGAATAAATGCAGGTATGAACTAGAGAGGAGGTCACAGGGTGCATTACGCAATAAAAGTGCAACATCCCATCGCTGGGATTCGTGTGGCAGACGTGGCTGTGGTGGGACAGGTAGCGGCAGGTAAAGTGAGTTTCCTCTAAACCTCCTTCGCAGTTCCTATAGCAACCGCATCCATCAGGGAACAAGCTAGTTTGCATCCTCTCCTGATGTTCGTAAGTTGTGCAGGTAATGGAGGACGTGGAGAACAAGAATACAGAGTCGCTAAATATAACAAGAGTTTCAGATTCAGAGGTGGTTTTCTTATCAGCGGCTGGCAAAAGTGCGTCAAGGATGACTGATTCTGTATTTTTCACGCCCAGCTTCACCTTCCAAAATCAACAAGAGACAAAGAAAATCAACAGCGCTCCATCTGCTGTCAGTTGGAGGGGAGAAACAGAGGAAGATTTGTTTCCTTGAACTCTGCTACGCTAACAATCTCTGGCAGTCACTGTTTGTGGTGTGATCTCAATTCTCTAAAGCGCAAAATCACACTGTTGTTCCTCTCCAGCATCAGCCTTGGTGAATTATGCTGTTTTCAGACTTGGTTTTGTTGTTTGGATGAACTTGAGTTCGATCTTCTGACCCTCAGACTCCTGCAGGACTGGTTTCACACCGGCTGTGTTCTCAATGGAATACTTGTTTACTGCGCCTCACATACTGTATACCATCTAATGCTTTCAAAAACAAGTAGTAGGCCTATGTGAAAAAGTATACCAATAACATTAATATGCTACATCGATGGTCTCAAACTCAATTCCTGGAGGGCCACAGCTCTGTACAGTTTAGCTCCAAGCCTAATCAAGCACACCTGATCCAGCTAATCAATCTCTTCAGGATTACTAGAGACTTCTGAGCAGGTGTGAGTTGGAGCTAAACTCTGCACATCTGTGGCCCTCCAGGAATTGAGTTTGAGACCACCGTGCTACATTGTCACATGACCTCATGCTCCATATTTAATTCAGCAACTGCAGATGACTGAAGTGTGCAGGATTGACACAAGCACTAAACTGAAACATATAGAACTGAAGTATACACTTAAATATGCACAACCTTTTTTGTTCTGATTTTCATAATTCTGAGATTTGAATATAATATATTTACACATATGTTGCATAAAAGAATCGATTTCTTACATTTCTTACATTATATATATGTATGTGACCCTGGACCACAAAACCAGTCTTAAGTCGCTTGGGTATATTTTTAGCAATAACCAAAAAAACATTTTATGGCTCAAAATTTTCGTTTTTTTTTTTTTTTTGGCGTGTTATGTCTTTTATTTAGATATGACAGTAGGTCGACAGGAAGCGAAGTGGGTGAGAGAGAGAGGGGGGTGGGATTGGGAAAGGTCCACAAGCCGGGACTCGAACTCGGGACGCCCGAAGCGCAAAGGCGCTATATGTCGGCACGCTGCCCACGAGGCCATTGGCGCCGACATCGATTTTTATTTTATGCCAAAAATCATTAGGATATTAAGTAAAGATCATGTTCCATGAAGATATTTTGCAAATTTCCTACCGTAAATATATCAAAACGTAATTTTTGATTAGTAATATGCATCGCTAAGAACTTCATTTGGACAACTTTAAAGATGATTTTCTCAATATTTAGATTTTTTTGCACCCTCAGATTCCAGGTTTTCAAATAGTTGTATCTCGGCCAAATATTGTCCGATCCTAATAAACCATACATCAATAGAAAGCTTATTTATTCAGCTTTCAGATGATGTATAATCTCAATTTCGAGAAATTTACACTTATGACTGGTTTTGCGGTCCAGGGTCACATACAATTATTGTATATATTGTCTTATTTTTGTAAAAGATGCATGGAATTGATCAAAATGAGAGTAAAAGACATTTATAATTTTACAATTTCAAATTTATAATGAATCATTTTGAAATAAGTTTATCAATTAAAATAAAATATGATAAAAATAACAGAACATATAATTTATGTATATGTACATATATATTCCTTTATTTTTTAAGTTTATTAATATATATGGTGATTAAAAAAAACACTTTAAATAAATGTGGCAATGATAGAATGTATTTGTATTTAATTGGAAGACAGTAAAGTATAAAACAATTCAAAAGTAAGCATACTTACATTTATACAAGACTACTGAAGCAAGTGGATGTGAAAGTAATACGATTACAGATTGTCAGAACACATCCTTTCATTTTAAGAGTAACTTTTAAAGCAAAACCCAAGCCAGTATTAACAGCGTTTTACACGGCTTTTTACAATCCTGCTAATCTGAGAGGGAATCCGGGTAAAATCCCAGCATGTGAACTTCCAAAATATCTGCAGCACAAGAGTTATGAGTCACTTCACATGCAGATATTAAGAGATTAAAATGCCAGTGTTTAATAACCCATCTCTGCGTTTCACAGCAGAGACACAGTATGATGAAACGGTCACTATAACTCTAGCGTGGCTCTTATCTCCCAGAGAACCTCTTAAAAACACCACAGAGTTATTTATGCATTCAAAGTCTTGCAAGAGAAGCACAGATAATGACACGGATAAAATGCAAGAAATCTCTCTCTTGGAAGAGGAAAAAACTAATTGGCATTGAAAGCACATCATAAATTAATCACATCAATGAAAATAGCACAAACAGGCATGAAAGAGAGCTAAAAATATGAATGGAGTGAGTTCGTCTCAATAGAAGTTAAGATCTACGCACTGCATCTGTGACATGCTGTCGAATACCACAGAAAACTGGAAGTTTACTCACCTAGAAAAGACTCATATAACACATTTTCCTGCCTTTAGAGTTTAATGCATTGCTATCCTGGAATATTCCTTTAGTAGGTCGTTAATGCGGTTGCACAGATGTACAGGAACTATAAAAACATTCAAACATGCACATGCGTACGTGTTTTTCAAAACATGCAGCTTTACACACCTAAACGTCCTCCACGCTAGGTGTGTTTGTGCTACCGTCTGACACAAAGCAGGTTATTTTTACCCATCAGAAGCGAAATCAGATTTCCTGACTCCCCACGGGAGATTCAACTTCCTGAGCTCAGTAACAAACCCATCTATACGTGCGTCAGTACCTGTTAAAAGAGGCGAAAAAGCTAATGGAAAAAAACATCAGAATGCATCTGGATGGGCCGAACGCAGCAGGAGGGAGTGAAAACAACAGCTCGGATCAGGACGGTGAAGAGATCATGAACACACGGCCCACCGCTGTCGGCTTTATCTTCCTTTACTCTTGATGTTATACTGCACTGAAATCTCTTGCATCACCGCTAGCATGCATGTCTCACAAGAAAAAATTAATCTAATTAGAAAATCCAATTATGATATGGCTCAATTTCAAGAGTCAGATCAAAGGTAGTCTGGGCTTCAGGCGGCACGACCACATACTGCACACAAAAATCCCCAAAACGGCAAGCTCCAATCTGACTGAGAGGCATTTTGCAACTTCCATGAGTCAGTGTACATGAGTTTTTATCAGTTTGCCAGGTTTATGGCAAAATTTAGAGAAATGTAGCATTATCTCACTTGCTCACCAATGGATCCTCTGCAGTGAATGGGTGCCGTCAGAATGAGAGTCCAAACCACTGATCTATATAAATGACTGGATCGCTCATTGCGTTCTAAACTGCTGACAGGCAGCGAAGCCAGTGTTCGAGCCGCCATCTTACTATTCCCTACCGGCAGAGATCATCATTGATCAAAACACTGACCTAAAATCACCCGATCTGAAGCGTATCAGTCACATGGGATTAGTTTTTGTGTTGTGTATGCAAATAAATTTTTACTTCAAATGTTATCTGCAATGTTCGTTTTATGCGTATTTTGGCACCACCTATTGTTGTGGGTGTATTATTGACATGTCAACGTCTAGACCCTGAATATAAGACAACCGCGTTTTTTCAGATGCATTTCCAAGAAAAAAAACATTGTCTTATATTCGGGTCAATACGGTAAATAGTTAAAGGTATAGTTCACCCAAAAATGAAAATTCTGTCATTAATTACTCACCCTCATGGCGTTCCAAATCCGTAAGACCTTCGTTCATCTTCGGAACACAAATTAAGATATTTTTGATGAATTCCCGAGAGCTCTCAGCAAGAATCCTAACACGATCAAGGTTCAGAAATGTAGCAAGGACATCGTTAAAATAATCCATGTGACATCAGGGGTTCAACCGTAATTTTACGAAGCTAAACTAAAAACTGAACGTAAACAACGTATGCCGTTATGCTGTTTATGTTCAGTGGATACTCTCCAAAATGGCTCTATAGTGGAGGAGACGAATTGTTGAATAAAGTCGTTATTTTTGTTTTCTTTGCGCACAAAAAGTATTCTCGTAGCTTCGTAAAATTACGGTTGAACCCTTGATGTCACATGGATTATTTTAACGATGTCCTTGCTACGTTTCTGAGCCTTGATCGTGTTAGGATCCTTGCCGTCTATGGGAGGGTCAGAAAGCTCTCGGAATTCATCAAAAATATCTTCATTTTTATGCTGAGTTCTTGCAGGTTTAAAACAACATGAGGGTGAGTAATTCATGACAGAATGTTCATTTTTGGGCGAACTATCCCTTTAAGGTGGGTGTGTCTGCTGCGCACATCCAACACAAAATATATTTCTTTATGTACGGAATTATGCAGGAAATATGAACCATGAAGATATGTCTGGTATTAGTATGAGAAATTGATTCGAATATACAATGAATAATACAATACAAGCCTCTGTTACTATGTTGTATTGAAATGAAAAGCTTACCATGCATCATCTTGGAAATAAAGCTTCATGTCTTTAAGTCCGTACAATACGTAGTCAGCGTTATTTCTCTGAAAAACGTATGATGTGTATATTTTTAATGTCCCGATTGAGCAACATCTATTTCAGACTCGCAGATCGCGCAAATATGCCGTTTTACTAGCATTACCGTTTCCATGTAAATTGTTATGTATATGTCAAATTAATAATTAATTGAATCAACGTTTAAATCATTACCTGCTTCAAAATGAACGCTGTTAACGAAATCATTGTTGAAACATTTGCAGTTAGCCTACTGCATGAATAAAAACACTATAACAAAATTACATAAAAAGTGAATAACTGTACAAGGCGAATTAAAGTTTATTTATACAAAGCACAAATGTTTATTCAGATTTCAGAATGAGCACTTTGTCATTAGTAATGCATATGTTGAGGATTTTGTCTGTCTGATGTTTGTCATGTTCATCTGATGTTCGCTACTGTAATGTAAATGAACGCAACTTTTTAATAAGCAGGGGAAATTCCAGACAATAGACAAATAACCATTTGCATGCTTAGGACGTTTGCATTGTAAGAATGTACAGGATTATTTCATATATAAAAACGCCTTGTTGAGTACATCCTCAAACCATTGTTTCCGGGTAAATTATGAGTCCTATATCCATTATATTACTTCCGCCAGAGAAAAAGTCTTGTACTTTCACATTAAAATGTACACATTTTTCTCCTAATTTCTGGATAAAGATATACTATGAATAGAGGACTCATATTTTAGCTGTTTAGATTTGTTTCTTGCAAACAGTTTTTCACTTCACAAGACATTAATTGCTGGACTGGAGTGGTGTGGATTATTGTGATGTTTTTATCAGCTGTTTGGACACTCATTCTGACGGCACCCATTCACTGCAGAGGATCCACTTTTGAGCAAGTGATGTAATGCTACATTTCTCCAAATCTGTTCTAATAAAAAATAAACTCATCTACATCTGGGATGGCCTGAGGGTAAAGACATTTTGTGCATTTTAATTTTTGGGTGAACTATTCCTTTAATCTAAGACCATGAAATCATACAATTAACTTACAGTAACTACATTTTTCAGTAGCCTGACAGTTTTTAATGAGACAAAACTTCAGAAAAAATATCAGAAATGTAGCACTTGAAACCTTGCGAATACTTTGCTACAAAGTGAAAATGTTAAAAAGGGCATTCAAACAAAGTAGTGCACACAAATTCAGCCTCATTCATCAAACATGAGAATACCAAAAACCATTATATGTAAATTGTCACATTCAACTTAATGCTACAATTATGTTATAATGATTTTACAGACTTTTTGTAAGGCCAGTAATTTCCTCTGCGTCTTCTGCAGCACTTTTTGAATGAATGACCACTGTCGGGCTATTAGTGCATTTACCTGTGCACATGTAAAAAAGGAAATTATGGGTGGTCAGGTGGCCACATTTAGTCAAAATTATAGCTATGGGTTTGAGTTGTGCATGCATTAACTCATATCTAGAGTCTTTTAAAAGTGTTTCCATGCAAAACTCCACATTAGACGGAGCTGTAAATTCCCACTGACTCTCCCAAAAAATAAATCCTATGCCAAGAGATGAAAATAATACAGAAAAAAATAAATAAATAAAAACAAACCAACGCTTTGAAGTTCCTCCTCCGCAGAGAAAAATGCCGTCTAGACACGTGCGAGTCTCAAAAGCCTGAACAATGTTGCTCATAATTACATACGGGAGGTTTAGTGCTGCTTCGTGAGTCTGTTTGTGCTGAATTGAATGTTTTCGTGAAATGTACCGTGCACCGTGAGCTCTGCCTGGATCTCGCTGGTCATGTTGCCGCTGTCCGTCTGGCAGACGTATATCCCAGCATCCTCTTCGGTCAGGTTGACGATCTGCAGGCTTCCCCCGCCAATCACAGCAAAACGCTCACGGCTGGAAAAAAAAACACAGAGAAAGAGACACGAGGAGATGAGGATGTGTTAAAACGACTTTTGCTCTCAGCGTTTTCAGGAACGCCACTGTAATGCCGGATTGAGATGGAATCGAAAACAGGATACAGTATGGATTTCATTTCCTGCGGCTTTTCCTTTATGGCTTGATTGCACTGAAAACAACTTCCCCAGAGTGTTTCACTGGAGGTTTCTCGAGAAAAACAAACTACTGTTCCCAGTTCCTCCCCAATGATTCGGAGGCAGGAAGAGACGGAGAGTTAATCTAAGATGAGCTGAGAATGGAAAGAAAAAAAATCAATAGTCACACACAACAGAGGAGAGAAAGCAAAGAGGAAGGATGAAGAGTCGACAGGGTCCCGCTGAACATAATCAGACCTCCAAACCTCACGTCGCTTTATTAGAAAAACACCCCTAGAGGGGAAAGAAAAGAAATCACCAATTACTGAGTTTGACTAAGAACGGAGAGTAAACCAGCCAGGAACGATGCCTTCCCACATTCACCCAGCAAAATCCACCCGCTCACTCGTCAAGACGTTTCTTCCAACACACCCGAGTGTCAAACTGCAGCTCACAGTGACAATGACAACGGCTGAGCCAATTCTGGTGTAAACTGGTGTGAATTCTAATAGCAACTGAGACATGAATGCAGCAATTTTAAATAGCATGCATTACCATTCAAACGTTTGGTGTCAGTATAAAAAGAAATGAATACATTCATTCAGCAAAGACACATTAAACTGATCAAAAGTGGCAGTAAAAATATGTTAGAAACTATTTCTATTTCAAATAAATGCTGTTCTTTTGAACTTTCTATTAATCAAAAAATCCTTAAAGTTAAAATGCGTCATGGTTCCCACAAAAACATGAAGTAGCACATCTGTTTTCAGCATTGAAAATAATAATAATAAATGTTTCTTGAGCAGCAAATCAGCATGTTAGAATGATTTCTGAAGGATCACATGACACTGAGGACTAGGGCTGGGTATCGAGTTCGAGCACCGACCGAAATGCTTCGATACCATCGAGTATCAAAAAACGTCTCGTCGTTCGGTACCAAATTTCGATATCTAAGGAGTTAATCTCATCAGTGTCAGTGAGCCAATAAGCCTGCAGCACTAGCCAGTTCGACTAGAAGTGGTGCGACGCAGATCGATCAGTGTTTGACATCCGCGAGAGCGATTCGAAAGCGCATGGAGCATTCTGCTCTCTTTAGCTCTCGTGGTACTGTAATACACCGATCGGTCTGCACAGTTGGCCCGCGTCAAGTCGAACACACCTACTAGTTTACACCGGTTACACTCAGAGACGTGGCGCACACGTGAGGTTGCAGTGTGAATGCATCCCAGCCCCCTTAGATGTAAGGCTACATTTTCACTGGTGCGTTTATATTTTAAAATGAAATCGATCCTTGTCATACTGGCATTTCCACTGCGTTTCAAGCCGGTTTTCCACTATCTCCGACAAATGACAAGCGACAGACCGGTCATTCAGTCATTCATTTCCAATGGAGAGTAGCGCGGGAGCTGCGTGGAGTTCCGATCATATGCAGATGTCCGTTCATACTACACGACCGAAAGCGCGTGTTATGTGACCATTCATGCAAACTGTATCATCATGCTACATAAGGCAATAAAATACGATTTATATTCCGCTTTTACTCAAAACTCACTTTAAACCACTATTGAGTGTTTGTAATAACTTCCGATTGCCCTCTAATGTGTGTTTTGGCCATGTAATGTAGCTGAAATTAAATATGTTATTACCTCTGAGTCAGAGCAGCGATCATGGAAGAGAGAACACAAGCAGACAGCGCTGGAAGCTGCTAATGCTCATCAGTAAATCAGTGGAAAATAAATAGAAATCATGATTCTGTCTGAGCTATGCGTTTTAAAACGAACACTAACTAGTGTAAATGTAGCCTAACAGATGTGTAAACTGAAGACTATTTGAGCTTTATTAAAACTAGTTGCACTGATTTATTGTGTAGGTTACATTTTGTTCCTTTGTGCAGTGGCTCAGGAGATGAGTCTGTATAGACATCAACAAGCTGAAAAATCTAAGTTTTTTTTTTTAGATAATGTAATGTAATCTTGTTAAAATTGATTTCATAAAATTGGTATCGAAAAAAGTATCGTTCAGGAACCGGTATCGAAGTCAAGGTATCGGTATCGTAAATTTTTGAACGATACCCAGCCCTACTGAAGACTGGAGTAACGATGCTGAAAATTCAGCTTTGATCACAGGAATAATTTACATTTTACTATATATCCACACAGAAAACAGTTCTTTTAAATTGTAATAATATTTTACAATATTACTGTTTTTACTGTATTTTGATCAAATAAATGCAGCTTTCTAAATGCATTCTTACCAACCCCAACTTCTGAACGGTAGTGTAAATTATTGCATAAATGTTGCATAAACACAAATATGTGAATTTCTAATGACGTACTTGAAGAAATGCTAAAAATGCTCTGAAAATCATTTATGTTATTAGAAATTGACAAGAATTTGACCATTTCAGAATGAATGTTTTTATGAACAAATGTTCACAAATTCACTCTACTTAAGTTTAAAATCCGGGTTTATACATTTTTAGAATGTTTGAACATTATTAGAATGTTTGAAGTTTAGGATAACATTGGAAACATTCTGTCAATGTCATTTTTATGAACAACTTAATCTAGGAACATTATTATTCATTAGAAGACTTTAGCATGCAAATTAATGGAAGCCGTTTGCTACTAGACAATTATGAAATTTGAAATGTCATTTTAAAAATCATGTAGCTCTTACCATAACAAAAGTCTACACCACTGGCTTTCTATTACAGAAACGTCCTTTTAAACTTAAACTTTTTGAGAACTTTGTTACCAGCTTAAAAAATGTAATATTAAAAGAAGTATTAGTTTCAAAAACGAATACCTTCATAAGAATCAATGAACATGAATGTTTCAGAGCTTGCACACAAAGCACCTGATCACAGGAGCGTCACTCCAGCGGCAGCTATATTTAGCACCCCCAGCCACTGTTTGTCTGTGATGAGACAGCAGGCGCCGCTCTGAAAAACCAGGTTCACGAACCCAACGAGAGATTCGTTTAACGCATGAGATGACAGAAGTCAGATGACGCTGCAACCGTGAACGCTACAGGGAGCCCCTGAGAGACCTGAGGAGCCGGCGGCGTCCAAGGCCGGATAATTAAAAAAGAAATTAAAAAGAAGATGAGTCTATAAGTACAAAGAGCCTTGTTAATGGTCTTTTAGCACAGCATTAATGCACCAGACTGGAGGAGGGTAACAAAGCTTTTTTACCCATCATGGGTAAAAAGTTAGTTTTTAAAGGAATAGTTCAGCCTATTTTGACATTATGTTCCTTTGCAGATTTTAAAATGCACTGAGCCCTTTTTTTGCACTTTGACATTGTTTATTCACTCAAAACTGAAGACTGAAAATTAAAACTAAAACCATAAAAAAAGTGTTATTTGAAATAAAAATCTATACATTTTAAATATATTTTTTCACTTAGTTTCCCAGGCAATGTTTAAATTTCAATATAAAAATGTTATATTTATGTTTAGTTTAACTTGAACTGAAATATAGTTTATTACTAATCTATATAGATATAATAAAATGATCAAATAAAAATGACAACATTTATGAAACTTTAACTTTTTATAACAATTAAATCTATTTTAATATATTAAATTAAAAATTTAATTTAAAGGGTCACTACCGTTTTGTCATTTTATGGCAAAGAGATTGGGTAAAAAAAATAAAAAAATAAAAAATCAATAAATTTTTTTGGGTGAACTTCCTTTAAATTAGCACAAAATTCAACCCATGAATATTTAATTTGGTAATAATTGTCCCAAACAAAACCACACGCTTGATAACATCTGATTTATTTAAAATTTTACTTTTTAAACCCTGATGGATACAGGGAAAAAAGATACAATCAAGTGTTATTCTCTTAAACTTTATCTTTGAGAACATCTGGCTGAACATTAACTTCAGAAGGTTTCTTATGTTAGGATTTATTATCCTCCATTTCCCAGAATTCTTCCATTCAAAGGCCAGTTTAAATTTACTGTTGTTTGCTAACGCTGATCAACCATTAAAAACGTAATAAATGTACTATAAATGTTTAAAACACATGCAAACACTTCCAGGATGTTGTACGTCGTAAATATAAACATGAGAGCGAGATTTCGAAGTAGAATGCATGATATTACTATTGGGAAAAAAAAACATAAATCAGAGTACTGCACAAAGAGGAAGTGCTCGTTGAAAATTTACACCCATTCATCCAGCATTGGCGCCTCAGAGGGAACTGCTGAAGGTGCGTTTGTGTGTGACGCCTAACTGGATTTACAATACACTTATATTACAATGTTCCCCTTGCAAATACTCCAGGCTGATGTTTGTGTTGAGAAGAGGTCGAATATCTGTCGTCAACACAAACGTCCATCTTACCGCGTCCCGTCTGGAATACACAAAACTGCTCAGTGTTCATCCACATCAGCGAGGACAAAAAGTGTTCTTGTCAGTGAAGAAAGCCATTCGCATTCATCCCAAGAATTCCTCCGTGATCCGCTGGATTTCTGTAAAGCACTAAACAGCATTCCGGCTCTACACTCTTAAAAATAAAGGTGCTTCACGATGCCATAGAAGAACCTTTTTGTCTAAATGGTTCCATAAAGAACCTTTAACATCTGAAGAACCTTTCTGTTTCACAAAAGCTTCTTTGTGGCGAAAGAAGGTTCTTCAGATTATAAAAAGGTAAGAAAGAGATGGTTCTTTAAAGAAACTTTAATTGAATGGTTCTTTGTGGAACCAAAAATGGTTCTTCTATGGCATCGCTTGAAGAACCTTTTGAAGCACCTTTATTTTTAAGAGTGTAATCCATGAGATTCGAACGTGAGATAAGACAATTACAGCTGTGTGATGATCTGGGTCGAACCTTCCTGTTCATATCCGAC